GAACCTACATGAATCTATTTAGGATCTGTATGAATCTCACTTAATGTGATATTCAGACATTTTGCTGTGGAAAATTGATGTGTTATATAATAGCGTGTTAACCCAGCCCCTGCTGCGGACATTATGGCATATGGCAGCTGTTCCCAACCTTTTTGGCACCAGGGACCATTTGCATGGAAGACAATTTTTCCATGGATCAGGGAAGGAGGGGGATGGTTTCAGGGTTGTTCAAGCACATTACATTTATTGTGCACTTTATTTCTGTTATTATTACGTTGTAATATGTATGAAATAATTATACAACTCACCATCGGTTGGGGACCCCTGGTATATGGTGTTGAATATCTCACATTCAGGTCTTGAATATGCGTATAGCTTTATAAGATTTGTAAAATTCTGAATTCAGAAGCGTAGCGGACCCCATGGCTTCTGATGGACTGTGCATCCTTTGCCCACGTCTCGTCTCTTGAAATGGCTACACCAGCCAACTGTTAGGACAGCCATATACTGAAGAAAAACAAGAAGCTTCTACCAGAAGAGGGAGCTATGGCCCCACCAGATGGAGAAATCAGCACAGGCTACATGGGGCTAGAAGGTCGGGGGAGAGAGTGAGTGTGTGTGTTTATGATTGAAGACAATTGCTTTGAGACTTTAACACTTTGTACCTCAGGTAAGATCCTGTTTTCTTCCTTTAGATGGGACAGGAACAGACGTTTGGAATCCTTAATGTCCTGGAGTTTTCTAGGTATGTTTCTCTTTCATACACTTGCAATAAAATATTTATATATATTTAGCAGCTTCATTGGTGTGTTTGCATGATTGTATGGTGTGGTTCAATAGAGTACTTAAGTATTAAACACAGTAAATATAACATATCCCTACAAATCCTCTTTTTTTTGGGATTTGTGACTTTCATTTAAAAAGTGAACTATGTCGTTTTTCTTTTCCCTTTTTTTTCCCCAAAAGAAATGTCCTCTTTTTTCTCTGGATTTCCAGAACCTGGTGTTCTTGCCTCAGCAGCTGCAGACATGTCTGAATAGTTTGGAACGTGCGATGAGGGCATTGTTTTCGTTGGCGTGTCCCGAGTCCCGGGAGGCCGTTCCTCCTGCTCCATCCGAGCGCTCCTCTGGGGACCCGGGAAACTGGCAGATGACGGCAGAGTAGATCGGTTCATCCCCGTAGAGCCTTGGTGCACACAGGGCGTTTCCCCTGGGCATATCTGGAAGCGTTCTTCCCCGGTGCAGGTCTTTAAATTAAGACCTAGGAACATTTGTCGGATTCTTTTGTTCCCCTAGAACATTCATAGTTTGTTATACCTAAATGTTTTGTTCTCTTCCCTCTCGCTAATGTTCAACTGTCAATACTAGAGTGAGGTTCTAGCTTTGCCGTCTCAAAAGCATCTTTTCCTATTGATTAAAATTAGGTGTTTTTTCAGTAACCTTTGTTAACTGATGCACACATTGTTTACTCTGTCTGCTTTATAAGCTATTGGATAAAGGTCAGTTTTTATCCTCATGTAGGAGATACTTTCCAGCCCTAGTCTTTAGTTTTAGGATTGCAAGTTTGAACTTTGGTCAGACGGAAACCCCTGGGGTTAAGTATTCAATGAGAGAGCTGGGGCAGACATTGATGGCGGCGTTAGCTCATGTAGGGAGTGGAGATGGTGCCTCTGTGGATGGAGAAGAGGGACGTGTGGGCATCTCTCAAGACTTCGTGTCCATCTCTTGTAGGAAATTGCACTGCGCTGTGGGACCAGCAGTTAGTGGGCAGGCAAGGAGGAGGAGAAAAGGGAGTTAGATAAAAACAGGTGCATATGGATGGAGACATGAGGATGCATTAAGTACGTGTGGGAGAAAAAGAACAGAAAGATCATTTGTGGTTATAGTTGTGGTTCTATTTCTTTTTAATTGACTCGTCTTTTTCCTGATGCCACTTAATCTTGACAGTACTCCTTCGAAGTAGTTGCTTTACACACCGAGAAAGTGAAACACAGGTTAGTGCCCAACTGCTGGATAGTCGAGAGAGAATGCAAATCCGGGTCAGACGGGGTACTGTGGATTAGCGTGTGGTAATTTATCCAGAGCTGCAGAGATAACGCCCGCATTCTTAGGAGCTTACAGTCCGGTGGGAATCGCCAAACTGAAAGACCACAGAGATGGGTGGTCTAGTTGGGGCGTGTTTCAGAAGGATGAAACATTGTCGGCAAAGGCCTGGATCAGAATGTGTAGAAAAGGAGAATGGTGCATCTTATGTGTGCTTGAAGCCTGGGTGGCGTATGGGAGACGAGGTGAGGCTGCACAGGTGGGAAGGGAGTGGTAGGAAGACTTCATGGGCAATGGGGAGTCACTGAAGGCTCCTGAGTGAGGGTGGGCTGTGATGAAAGATGTGCAAGGAAATGTATATGCTGCAGTGAGAAGAGGAGAGAGAACAAGTTCCTTGGTGCTGAATTAGGAATGTTCTATGAATTCGTATTTTCTTTCTACTTCAGTTAGAAGACAACACAATGAGGAGCTTTTGAGTTAGTGGATCTGTATCGAATCTTCCACTTTGGAACTTACCAGGCAAAGTTACTCGTTAATTTTGAGCTGTAAAATAGAGAATAATACTTGCAGAGGGCACAGGCAGACGTCAATTAGATGTGCGTGGCTGGTGCTCAAATTCTCCCTTTCTGTTTCCCTACTGCAGATAGCTGTGCTACTGACCGTTCATAGCAGGGGAGGAAATCGGTTTCTGTCCATTGGATGTAAATGAAAAGAGTAGGAGATACACAATTCAGTCCTCCTTTGAGGAAACGGCAGGGAAAGATGGAGCATGGCCGGTTTTAGAAGCGCCAGACCACCTTTTGTTTTGATTGGTGTTTAGTTTGTTGGACGTGCGTCCCATAAACAGACCAATGATGACTTTTTTTTACTCTCCCAGTGACAGAAAAAGAATGTCAGTAATCGTTCGAACTCCTTCGGGACAACTTCGACTCTACTGTAAGGGGGCTGTAAGTACCTGCGAGGCGTCGTGCGTGGCAGAGAGCCCTCGGCGGCTGCCTTAATCTGCTGCTTTTCCTAACCGCCCTCATCCTTCCCTGACGCTTTGCCCCAAGTTGAAAGGCCCTTTTGGGTAGGCTGTCAAGTTGACTTAGGAGCGAAAGGCCACTGGAGGTGACGGTGACTCAAGGCAGCACGACAGAGACTGTCCGTGCAAAGCTTGCTTTTAGCCAGTAGCAGCAGTTCGTGCAAAATCCTTGGAGCATGAATTCTGGTTACAGTTTTACCACCATCGTGTTGTGACTTTGGGAAGATGAAATAATTTGTGTTGACCTGTGATAATCTTCTCTAAGTACTCTGATATATATTGGTTCTCTAGCAGCTATTCTTCTCAATTGATGTGGTTTGTTTTCTATTCATCGCAGAAAGCTATGTGGCAGGGACAAAGGTACCATGTGTGGCTGCCTTGTTACTGCCCTTTCTGGTCCTATCTACCTGCTGGCAACCAAATCTAGATGTATTGCCTCTAAGAAAAGATGTTATTTTGCTTATGATTCGTACCTGTAAAACTGTATCTTGTTAAACTGCGGTCTTATGTATTGAGGGAGGGAATTATTAAGCTTATTTTATGAGGCTGTCAAGAAGATGAAGCTATCCTAGGATCAATGATTGGCTGAAAATCTTACTAGTCTTTACCAATCATGGGAAGAAGGTGGTCTTATTTGAGTTCAGTATGACCAGGGTTTATCAAAATGAGGAATGCACGGGAATTCTAAAGGAACTATGTCTGGACCCATAAAGGAATTCTGTGTTTAAAAGTAGCAACAACTTAAATTATGATCATCTAGGTTTTGTTGTCATATGATCTATTTTTTAAACTTTTTATTAGCTTACTTATTTGCCACTGTGTTCTAAGAGCCACGGCAAGTACAAAGGGTCCATGCGTGGTAGTAGGGAGAGGAGGGCTATAAATTCAGAACAGTGCACCTCTGAAAATGCTGCAAAGGGTGTTTCATTTTTATAGGATTTAATTTTCTCTAAACCTCTCCCCAAACCAAACCAGGTTTCTTTAAAAAAAAAAATTAGTGTTCTAAAACTATACGATTTATAATATACTTTGTAGATTATCCATGGCATCCAGACTTCCAGCCCTGCCTGTCAGTGTGGAAATAGTGACGGGGCCTGAGCTTTGTACACCTGCGTCACTTGGCAGAACTGGGTTGGTCGTTCCCTCCCTGGGTCGGAGCCCCTCCAGCGCAGGAAGCAAGGTTGTACTTGAGTGATTTAGGATGTGGATTTTGCCCTTTCCAGTTCTGTGCAAAGGTGTGATTAAACTTTGGGGTATGAGTTTGGCAAATTGGAGGAATGTAGGCACTGGTGTGTCCCGGTGAGTCTTCTGGCACCTCTGGTTCTTCCCAACATGTTTTTGTTTGACTTTTAAGATTCTGGTTTTGTGGGACACATCTGAACCCAATTTGTTTTCTGGAGCTCGTGCCCGAGCCCAGCCGGGAGCTATATCCTGCTTGCCCACTCGCGTATCCTCACGTGCGCTAGATAAACACCAGTGAAACAGAGCCACGCTCAGCATGCCGACCGGGGGTTTACCGACGGCTTTGCCAGTCACAATGTTTCCCTATTTTATAGGATAATGTAATTTTTGAGAGACTTTCAAAAGACTCAAAATACATGGAGGAAACATTATGCCATCTGGAATATTTTGCCACGGAAGGTAAGTGCAATTTGGAAATGCTATTTGGAAATGCTATTTTTGACCATTGAAGTTGTACTTTCAGTCACGTGGCCTGCCTTGGAAGAACAAAAAACTCCAAGGCCCCCCCCCCCCCCCCCCAACCGCAAAACCCGAACCCGGGGCCGGGGGGAACCCGCCGTGCCCCTGCCAACCCATCACCAGTAGTGCGGAGGAGGAAGGCAGGCTGACTCACAGCGTGGAGTATCGTCCTGGAGTTACGGGTCCCTCTTTCAGAAACTCATGGTTATTCTCCTGTCCATCTCTTTTTATCCTTACGACACTGGCTTGTCTGTGACTTAGGAAAATAATAGTCCATGAACCCATAGCGAGCAGGAAGGGAGTTTTCCGGAAGGCTTTAAACAACACTAATGGCAGGTGTTCCTGCTAGTGAATGTGCTGATAGCAGGAACCGTGCTCAAGTGCTGACTGCTGCCTTCTTGCCTTAGTGTGTTCCCATGGCTACACACGCATGCACATGTGAGTACACACACACACACACACACACACACATGCATGGGTGTAGCTGCTGGAAAGCCTGGATCTTTCATGTGATAGCACTTTAGGCTTTTGTTTGCTGTCTGGAAACAGGCCCCCTGCTGTCCCTGCTTGCTGATCCCTGCCTCCTGCACGTGGACGCGTGCAGCACACACAGCTCCTGGGCCTCTCTGCTGTGGAGAATTCTCCCTCACGACTTTCCATATACTCTCAAACTTATAGAAGTGGTTTATATTGGAATATAGGAGAGTTGTTTTGAAATCTCCCTTTGTAGATGCGTGAATGTAGAATTAGAGTGACTACAAAGCAGGTGGCTTCTTTAATTTCTCTGAGCGTGCGGATATCAAAGGAAGCCACACGAGGCCCCGAGGAGGTGCGACGTCCTGCTCATCCCGCTCACCAGTGGCTGTTTTGCAGGCCTGCGGACTCTCTGTGTGGCTTACGCGGATCTCTCTGAGAATGAGTACGAGGAGTGGCTGAAAGTCTACCAGGAGGCCAGCACCATCTTGAAAGACAGAGCTCAGCGGCTGGAAGAGTGTTACGAGATCATCGAAAAGGTAAGCGCATGTGATTTAGTCTTTGTGGGCCCAGTGAAGGACATAACCACCAACTGAACAGAGTCTGGGAACAGGAATCCTTCTGCACAGCGATGTTCTCTTTTTTTGTAAGTGTCTTGATGAACCATTAGCTCTGAATCATTTCTTTCTTTGCTTTAAGAAGCACTTAGTATTTATGGGCTATCTGAAAGGTCTGGCCACCCTCAGCTAAGCATTAATAATATCTTAAGAAATATCAGGTCAAAAACAGCATCAGTGACTTTCTGGGTTTGCCTAAGATCGGGCTGAAAGGGACAAGCTCGTCCCATTGGGGTCCTCGAGCACTCAGAGGGCTGCGTGGCTGCTCAGACACTGTGCACGCTGAGACTGCTCACGCTACTCATTCTAGCAATATTTAAGCTTTGCCATTGCTACTCACATTGCCTGCTTTGGTTTTTTTTGTTATTGTTATTGTTCTTTTCAGTTTATCCCAAGGCATTACGTAGCTTTCTATTTATTGGATTCCCTCACGTCTGGGAGCTGGGTTTACATTTTTTCTGTTCAATGTCAGCAACCATTGGGCCATCCGTTTTCCAATTTTGTGACTTTGAAGCCAACGCCTGTTTGCTTTTTTCATTCCTTTATTGGTTTTTAAATTCTCTTTTGCTTTTTTATACTTAGTTTTTGTTTGAGTTTTATATTCAGTTGTTTATAGTCAATCATTTTAATGGAATTTGGGTAGGAATAGAACTTAATTCAAGTGTTCATTTGCTCTGTTGGGAAATATCCAAAATTACTTTTAGGATCGGACAAAAGTGACTAACTAGGTGATGTACCTGTGTGGTGTCACGCAAGTGGTGGTTGCTCAAGAGGTAGTTGGATTTTCCCAGTGTGGTAGCCAGGCGGAGGTGCAATGTTGTGGAGAGACTCAGGGAGGTGAGTAAGTGGAACAGGCCCTCTGTGCAGTCTCTGGAACCTTCCAGACCAGCAGGCAGAGCATTGGCAGCTAGGAGGAACTGCACATCCTCAGCGAGAGAGGACGAAACGGGACAGCATTTTATAGCTCCTCAATTTTAAGATACTTGGAGGTTTTCTTTTTTCACTGTTAAATTCATAGCATCACAGGTCGCTTACTCCTATTCTGCCAGATGAGTATAACATCCAGAATCAGTTCTTCTTCTGTGGTAAACGTGACATAATATGTTTCTCAGTATTGGAGTAAGAGGGAACAGTGTCCTTGGGGCAACTTGCCCATCTGCCCTGCGGCCAGGTGACTTCTATTGCACCGTGCCTCTGTGGCAAGAAAGCAGTGATGAGTACCAGGTTGCCCGCA